TTGCAATAATTCTCGGCTTACCGACTGAGGAGCGAGGTTAAGTGACTTAATTGTTTGTACACTTATCTCTTCTAAGTCGCTCGAATAAATGCCTTTTATTTTAACGTTTAAGCGATACGAACTATCGTCGTTAATTCGCTTACCTCCCACGGCTTCGATACGTAATCCCTCTTTACGTCCGCGAGGCGCTAACTTCTGAGCCATCCACTCCTCTATGAGTGTCATGGTCGATCCCTCATCCAGAAGAGCTGTTGTCCTGACCTTTCCTCTAGGCCCATGCAACTCGACCGGTATGATCTTTAAATATGCACATGCCAGTGCATTTACTGTACTAACAGTTGTAATCTGAGCATCTTTACCCCCCTCGTCCCCTTGTGGCGAGGTATTTTCATTGGGGTATCGGTGTAGCATTCGATGATGTGACATTCTACATCCTTCTACACCACATTTTTTCGCTTTGCACTCTAACCTCCTATGGTTAGGTGACAAACATTGGAAACATACTTTGGCCTTTTTGACGGCTTCCCATTTCTCGCGAATATTCATGTCCTTAAACTTGTAACAACTCACTATAGAGTGCTCCTTGTTGCATATAACACACTTATGTGTTACCCGACTTACAGGCTTGTCCTGGGTTATCATAACCACTTGTCGGTTGTGCCTTTTATTATTTCGGCGTTCTAAACGCTCGCTCATATTACTTCGGCGCATATAGCGCTCGCTCTCGGCACAGCTGCGTACACCTCCCTTTGCAGTGTGTACAGTTTGCTTCCTGAATTCAGGACGCTTCCTTTTTTCAGGCGCATTTTCATTGCTTAAGGACGTTCCAAATTGTTCACTCAATAAATTTAAAAACTTGGCCATCTTCTGTAACTCTGGCTCCAAAGGATATTGAGCTCGATATTCAAACCATTTAAATTTAATCATAGTTCCAAGTTTCTCCACTATGCGGCTCACTAACTCCGGTGAGTATAAATACTGTGGTTGATTCAACGCTTGTATTGTGGCAACCACGTTCGTAATACGACTTGCAAAAGATCCTATATTTCGGCAATCTTCTGCCAATCTTGGCATACGCTTTACATTCTCGATTTCGGCTAGAATGAGCATCTCAACCCTACCGAATCTTCTTTCGAGAGCGTTCATTATTTCTTCAGGTTCACATAAAGTAAATAACAGCGACTTAACCGCCTCTTTAGCGGTGCCCTTTAATGCCCTCCTAAGGCGTGCGACATTTTGCACCCCTGAAAATTGGCCTTTTGTGTCTTCAAACACCGTTTTGAAAATTATCCATTCACCCGGGTCTCCATCGAACACCGGTAATTCCTGGAGGAAATGAAGCTGGGAAGATTTATCTTTACCAGCTATTTTTATTGCACTCACAATCGCTTCGGTCAATTCTGACACCTCACTCGCGTGTGTTTTCTGTGCATTTCCTAGGTTGCGCTCGACCTCCGCCCCTTTGCGGCGTGATCCTTTACACGCTTCCTTATCAGTAATATCGGGTTGTGCTACACTAACCGGCGCGCTCATTATGGTTTGCTGAACCCAACTCCTTACGAAAGGTTCCACCTGAGTATTCCGCTCTTCACCATCCTCACTCGAGTCGATTTCCTCTTCTCGGTTGAGTCGTGCCAACTCCAATTGAGACTTGGCTAAGGCAGCAGCTGCCTGTGCTCGTTCGAGCTCTGAGCGTTCGAATTTAATCCGCGCCTCTAATTCGGCTTTCAGCCTCGCCGATCGCGATGACCTACTACCTCTCTGTGACCCTTTATCACTAGTGTGCCCGATTACTGTCCTTGACGATGCCGCTTCTTCGGTCCTTTGACCTACTTTTTCGACCACCGTTTCACTCCTGGATATAACGGATTGTTGTGCGGTGCTGGCCTGCGTACCACTGGTGTCCGTCCTGTTGCTCGTCGTTGCCATGGACGTCCCTGAGTCCCACGTACATGTGGACGTGTCTGTGGTGGCTCCACTTGAAGGAGTTGCTCCATTTGACGCAGTAGCTGTGGTCGCTCCAGATGATTCCGCTTCTTTAGCTTTTCTTGAGAGCCCTGTCCTTGTCCTGCTCCCTTCGCTTCTCCCTGTCTGGTCTTGTGCCTTCTTCATCTTGCAGGAAGGTGATTGTTGGCCTACGGTCCCTAACTGTCCCTACAGTCCCTACAACCCCTTCTACACCCCAACCTAACACCACTACCCCTCCCCCCTTTATCTCCCAACCCTACAACCCTACTACCACCCTATCAGCCCTATCAGCCCTATCAATCCTGAACGGGGCCTACCGAGGTGAGCCGTCCAGGGATGGAGTCGTGCAGGAATGGAATGGAGGAAAGGTTTAGGAACTGTCCCGCCAAGGAATATGACGAAACAGTCGAGCGGTAGTGCAAGCGCAGTCTCGCTCGAGAGAACTGCTCCACCCGAAGGTGTTATGCCAGAGCCCAACCGTTTGGCACCGTTAGGTGGTCGGGATGTATGCTGTGCTCGCCGCCCAGTTGCCGGTGACGCCTCGTCCAAGCGCCCTCCTCCGGCCGCGATGCAGTCAGGTGCCCACGCGCACCCTCGCCCGGCAGCAGCAGCGGTGGATGCTTTTGCACCCTGATGACCCGACGGGAAATGCCGGACACGGTCGTCCGACAGGAAATGCCAGACACGATCGTCTGACAGGAAATGCCGAGCACGCTTGCCCGACAGGAAAAATGCCAAGCCCTGCTTGGCCACGATGAGTGCCTTCACAAGACACCTGCGCCCGGCTGCGATATGTGCCCCATGCGAGCACACGCCCCAAGCTGCAATCCCGGTTTTCTTTCTTCCGGTAGTTCCAGGTCCAGCCCTTCAGTGCTGCCGTCCTGGTCTTCAGGCCTTTGGTCCTATTGCTTCAGCTCAAACCTCTGGCTTCCTTCGGTTGCTGATCTTCACTCGGCTTCCGAAGGTCTTCTTCTTCCACAACCAGCAGTCCACAGCTGGTTCCTTGATCCAGCTGGCGGGGTTCGGGTGGTCTTCAATCCGGCTCCGAAGGTCCAATTGAAAAGGAACTCAGGTTGGACGTCCTCTCAATCCTGAAAAGGACCAATTGAAAAGGACCTAGCGGATCGGGTACTAAGAAACAGGAATCGAGGCTTCTCTCGATCCGGCCTCCTATCACGCCTACGTTGGGTTCGGGAACAACGTATGTGATCTCCGCAACGGAGTAACACACAAGGGCGATAACCTCTTCCTTTTCAGCAAGTAGGTTCAGACGGGGATTACGGGTCTTCCGAAGTCGTCCCGGTCCCGACGCCTTAATTCTTCGATGTGGACTGTATAACTTAAAGGATCTTGGGAATGAAACAGCAATTATCTTCAAACCGTTCCGTGAGAGAGTAATCACTTTTCCCTATACTGCTGGTTTTTCACTTTTCTTGAACTTTTTCTCGGATTTTCTTATTTATTTCCGAACTATTTCCGAACTTCTTCCCAGAAGGATTCCCGAACGATTCCCGAACGATTCCCGAATATTTCCCGAACCATTCCCGAACATTTCCGAACGATTCCCGAACGAATTGCAATAAAACCCGTTCACTAAGCTACCCCAGAGCTATACGCGAAAGTGAGCCGCGCCATTCGCGCGCTTGCGCAACTCAATTACATGAATTTGTTCTATTACTCTCTCACGTTTTACTCAATATCTTTATTTATTCAAATCATATACAAATACAATTTATCAATATAGGTAGTACAAAACAATATCTACACCATGATATACATCATATCTTCATATCATAAAAAACCTTTTATTTATTAAACGAAAACTGCCTATTTTACTCACAAGTTCGAAATCGAAATTTCTTAAATATTTAACACAGAAAGTTAAAACAATGTTTCTCACTTGAATTTATACATAAGCTAACCAATACAATAGTTTAATTTACATTTTTTCTATTTATTTCACTATTTAAAACACTTTTAAATTTCTTATACAAAACTATCATTATTTCACTTATACACAGGAATTTTCACATGAAAATAACACAGAATTTACCTTTTTAGCACGTACAATTAACCTGAAATATTTTACAAGTAATTTTTACATAAATCACTGAATTACAAACATTTTAAATTTTTACATATTCGGCCTCCTAAGGGCGTGGCTTAGCGTGCGTCTATGAACTCACACTATTTGAACAACTAACTTTTGCACGGCTCTCGGCTATCAGAAAAAATGAAATTCTGAAATTCACCAATTTTATCAATATTTGGCAAATTAAATGCTTTTATACAATTTTCGAACTGTATGAAACTATCTTTAATCAGATAACAATATAAATGAATGTTCTCATTAATCAATCATAACAAATAGGCATTTGTTTTCGTACAAAACGTATCAAACCTATACAAAACAATATTTATGCAATTAATATCCATTAATTCTGCCTATGCACAGAGTGATTATCTCGACCGGGGAACAAATCCGGTAACATAATTTATATCTTAAATTCCTTACGAATTTATTAAGCGATATTACTTAGGAAAACAAACAAACTAGTCCGGCCTGGGAGTCGAACCCAAGACCTTCATATCATTAATTCGACGTTTCTTAAAGATTTAACTAAGCATTCTCTTATCAGAGCGTCGTTGCTCGTGACTGCCCCTTTTTTCATAGCAACGTCATCGGTTGATTTAATAAACTGAAACATTTTTATAGGCGCGTCGCCAACACATAGATTTCTACATTCATCCACGATTAAGAATCAAAACGCAGATGCGTTGTCACCCCGTAGGACTAAGATGGAATGCCTCGTCTCCAGTAAAAAAGGATCCCCGGATCTCTACACTCACTATATGAAACACAGCAGTATTAAGCTACTATTTTACGGTGGTATTCTGTGAGAGCGTGATCCTTCCCCGGTCGAGCCGACCCATTCGTGCTACATCTATAATATATATGCAGCGTGGCTCTACCATGTATAAAATTATATAACGTTAGTCAGAATTTTCACATTTAACTTTATCCGTTTCAGGGTGATTCTGGCGGGCCACTAATGCTCTTAGCAAATGGGCGCTGGACACAGATTGGAGTTGTATCCTTTGGGAATAAATGCGGAGAACCTGGATATCCGGGAGTCTACACTAGAGTAACACGTTATTTGTCCTGGTTACAGCAATACTTAACTTGAAATGCCCTTCTTGGCCGCCTACAATAAGGGTACTTCTGTGCTATTTATAGAGATCAAAGGTTATTTTATAGTCTGATAAAAAATAATTACGTCTATGGAGCTTTGAGATACAGCTGCCATAATGTTTAGTTTTAGCCATGGAAAATTTTACAATGTTAAGTTTCGTTTTTTTGTTTAATATTTTATTAACATTTTACAAAATGTTTACCATTAAATAATCACAAATTGTTACCAAATACAGTATCTTTTACCACACGATTGACTAATTATTATTTTTGTGTAGATATTTATTATTTACTTAATCTAAATAGCCATATTAGAAGTATAATCAAAAATCTGCCCTGTCTCATTTTGTTAAAAATCTAAGGAAATTGAAAGTACCTATTCGAAGTAATTAATAATAACTTTTTTTACCTTTTAGGTAATACCTACTTTTTTAAATATTTATTATCTAGATTTAAATAAAGGTCGCTGAAAAAATAATAACGTACATTTACCGACAGTGACAATGTTTAATATTCTAGACAGACATGATTGTCTGTGTTATACGTTTTTATTTATATTAATTACCTATAACTTAATATTTCTGTTTTAGTCTATTTTGTAAATATATTTATAAGCAAATGCATTTTTTGTTTCATTTTAACCACATGTTTATTGGTACGAGTGTAAGGGAATAAGTGAAAGAAAGGAACAAAAGGCCTTTTTATGTTTATCGTCATCATCATACAGCATTAACGTCACTATCACAGCATTAAGACCGCTTAAAATAAAATTAAAATGACGTGGAGTATAATTAATAGCAAAATTCAGTAAAGACAAACCTTGTAACACAAATTATTAATTGAAAATTAATAATGAATTGACTACATCAAATCAAGAAGTCGCAGCGGTGTTTGAGAAATATTTCACTGATATTCCTATTTTCAAAACAAAGTCATTGAATAGTTTTCCAACTGTCACAGATTCATTACCCAAACAGAATGTTAATACCTGTTTAAAAGAATTTAGATCTGAAAAAATATTACCACAAGATATTATCAAATATTTCAAAACGCTTGATGTAAAGAAAACTGCAGATTTATGAGGGATTTCCGTTAGTTATTGCATCCATTAATAAATTTAATTGCACCTCATCTTGCCATTATTTGTAATACTAGTATCGAATCTGGTGTGTTTCCTGATTTAATGAAACATATATATATAATTTAAATCTGGTGGTACATTAGACCCCGCTAATTTTAGACCTATTTCTATACTACCAAGTCTCAGTAAAATTTTTGAAAAGATAATTATAGATCAATTGTTAATTTTTTTAATGAAAATAAATTACTCCTTAAAAATCACTTTGGTTTCACAAGGGGTCAATCGACGAATGACGTAGGTTTTGAGCTTGTTGAATATATTTTTAAAGCCTGGGAGAGTTCACAAGATGCCTTAAGTATTTTTTGTGATCTTTCCAAGGCTTTCAATAGTGTTCACATGAGATATTTATCAGGAAACTACAACATTACGGTGTCAAAAATATTGCGCTTATACTTATTATTTCATATTTAAATAACAAAACTCAAAAAGTCGTTATCAATAGTAAAGGTTCCTCCGGATCAGTAGTATCACCTAGCATTTCTCAGGGCTCGATTCTTAGCCCATTCCTGTTCTTAGTCTATATTAATGACTTACCTCATCTTGTAGGGGACAATCCCGATATAGTATCATTTGCTGATGATAGGCACCTCCTTAATTTTGATACTCTATGGTTCATAAAAGATAGCTTGATCTCTGCGACAGCTGTCAGTAAAAATCACGCCTATGAAGTCCTGAATTTCTTAGTAGTACAGACAGTACCTGTCAATGTGATACTTTATGGGCATGCACTAATTCTTTGACTAGAGAAATTCTTTTTTCTCTAGTCAAAGCACTAATTAGGTCGGCATGCCCATAAAGTATGACATTGACAGGTACTGTCTGTCAGTGGCGTAGCTAGGGCTCCAAAGTAGGGCAAGCCCAACATATGGTTTCGTTGTTTTTAGCAGTTTAATAAAAATACACCAATCTTGAGCTTTCTCCACTCTTTAGTTTCATATTCAGTGCTGACAAGGACGTGTTTAACAAAGCACACAGAAAGCATACTACCGCTAGATAGATTGTATGACATAATATGCAATTGCACACCTTCGGTGGTTTTGAAAAGAGCCGTTTGGTTTTGCTTGAGATATTTACAAACAATACAATACCTGAACAAAAGAAAAGCATGAACAAAGTACAAACAAACTATGTACAAAGTTAAAAAAAGGTACACCTGGCAGAGATAAAACCTCGAAATTATTTTGTTTAAGTTATATGCATAAAAGAACAGATTACGACAGGAATTAGATAGTTATAATGAGAAGATAAAGCTTTGCTAATTTTTTACCATAAAATAATGACTATTTATTATAATTATAATTATTCATTTTCAATTCATAATAAACCGTACAAATTGATATTTTTAAACTATATATCACTATAAATTAGCCGATAGCGTATTTGTGCCATCTAGCGTAATCTTTAGGTACCATCGTGAGAATCAACCAATTTTCGTTCGATAAAGTGACTTTACATATAGAATTAAGTAGATGGCGCCATTAAAATTTTATATACTGAAAAGTAGACAGAGAAACCTAACTGGAAATAACTAAAGAGAGTACTATTCTTTAAAAACCTGTATTCTTTTGATTTATTTAATTAAAATTTAGGCTTCACGTTAAAAAAAGATTGTAACACTTATTTCCTCTAAAATTAAACCTAGGTCTCATACTTTATGCTGCTGTTCAAATTGATATTTTTAATTCGTATGGTAATATTAATATTGAGTTATTAAACCTTTAAATACGCCTAACTTAATTAAACTTTAATACTAAAGAGTCCTGTACCTGTATTTAAAGTATGAAGAAATGTTTATTAAATATTAAATTTCATTTTTAAATATTTTTACCTTTTCTTCGCCGATTAGCACTTCAACACACTTATATTCATCACAATGAACACTATTATCCTCCCATTTTCACTGAAAATCTTTGAAAAAGCATAAATTTTTAACAAACACAATAAAAACAAACATAAACATTGAAATGTGAAGTGAACTTGCATACGAGGGGCCCGCAACCACTTCGCTAGTCGCTACGCTAACGCACTCCTAAACACCTTCATGGCAAAGCCAGGCTTGTCGGCTCAATAGTAATTGCTATACAAATATTTCGTAGTTATATTTCATTATAGAATATTTTGCCATAGGTTAGAAAGAGAGCGATCGTCTTCTCGAAAGCCCCGTAAAAGCCCACGCGAGTGAGGTAGACAACTAATCGCTCAAACTCACTTTATGACAGCAGCAGTATCGCCACAGAGTACCTTTATATAAACGTATCGCTAAGGCAATACGAGGTCATCGGTCGACATGTGTCGAACAGTGGAGTGCGCGGGAAAATTGAAATAATTTGAAACAGTTTAGAAGTTATTTTATTAGTTAATATTATTGATTGATTCGGTTTTAATAAGGCAAGCCCGTCTTTTCGGCTTTAATGAAAGCTTCGCCACTGCTGTCTGTACTACTAAGAAATTCAGGACTTCATAGGCGTGATTTTACTGACAGCTGTCGCAGAGATCAAGCTATCTTTTATGAACTATAACGACTGCTAATTATTGTTGACAATGTAAATAATGCTCTATCGAAATTAGTACGTTGGTTTAAAACCAATTATTTGCTCTTAAACGGCAATAAGACAAAATTTATTGAATGAGATATTCCAAAATATAGGAAATCAAATTTTAAACAGTTCTCAACTGTCCAATTATTTTATAATGGCTTTGTTTGCTGGTAAAGTACACGAAATAACAAAAACAAAAACTCGTCATGACGGTAAGCTGTCATTTTCATTGATTAGTGACGTTAGACATGTTTATTTCTGTTGATTCCCGGAGGTATTACGTCGCTTTATGGTTATATAAATGTGGAATAACAAACAAAAGACCTCAGACCTATCTTATGAGCAAATGCGAAAATGTACATACTTAATACGAAGTAAGCAAAGATGGTGACTGAGTGTTGGTACTTTTACTATGTGAATCTGCGACTGAATTAGAAATATTGCTTCTTGAATGCATCAAAAACAAAAATTATTACAGAAAGTTCCAAAAAACCAATCAATACCTAATATTAAACATTTAAATACCAATATGCTCATAAATTCGGAAGAGTTGAGTCTTGTGGATACCACTGTTTTTCTTGGTATTACTACTGACGCGAAGCTTCAATGGGGCCTTCATATATCTAAATTAGCAGGCAGACTTAGTTCTGCAGCATATGATGCAAGAAAGATTAGAAGTCTCACCAATGTTGAGACAGCTAGATTAGTTTATTTTAGTCACTTTCGTAGCATAATATCTTACAGAATCTTGCTATGGGGTAATGCGGCTAACATTGAAGTCATATTTGTTTTGCAAGAGAGAGCCGTACGGTCGATTTATAACTTAAATTTGTAAATAGTCCCTTAGGGAAAATTTTTAAAGGAATAAACATATTAACTCTAGTAGCAATATATTTATGAAAATTTAATGTATGTACATTAAAACATAAATAGCTTTCATAAGAATAAAGATGTTTATACTATAAATACTAAGAACAAACATAAGCTTGTAATTCCAGTTACTAGACTACACAGGATTAGTAATTTATTTATGGGGCAATTTATACGCTTTTACAACAAAATCCCAGAAAATGCACAAAATTTGTCATTAAACAAGATTAAAGATTTTTTTAAAGAGAAATAGTACAAAAAGACGGAAGTATTATTAATATCAAAGAATATACATAAATTAAAATGACCCCTGGGATGAAGTGATCGCCAACATACTGGCTCTATAAAAATTCATACAAAAAATGTACAAAAAATTATTGTGAAGTGAAATATGTTTAAAAAAAATAGTCCCGCTGGGTTTCTTGCTAGTTCTTCCCAGGACAGAAG